ATTTACAGCTATGCTAGCAGCTTGGCTCTATAGGACTGGTAAAGTTGAGTATACCAAATAATCAATAACCAAATAACCAAATAGGTCTAGTTGCAAACTAATGAAGTTCCCATCAGCCTTATCTGTACTGTTTAGTGCTAATTAGCTAATGTTGTCATGCTAACACATTAGATAGTGAACACGATAAACATTATACCTGTTCCAGCATCAGCATGTTAGCAATGTCAATTAGTCTCTGCATAAGACCTTGGAAATTCTTCATTCATTAGGTGAAATATTGCAATAAAAAGGCAGTCTGTGTATTCTCTCACCTTATTTAGATAAATATTGTTTATGGAACATTTTTGTTAATAGCCGTTCTACAGAATTACTGTCAGTGCACATAGTGTACATGCTTGTACCCTACACATTTTTAGAATTGTTTTTCAAGCTATACAATAAAGACAACTCAACAGACTGTTGAGCAATACTTTGCAACTCCAGAGAAATAACCAAACACTATACGCTCCATATGCCTTTGCATGAATAAACATTAGGTTGTGTGAAAGTATTCTCCATTCACAGAGAAACCAGTAGACTGCTGAAGGTTTTACAACCTGAAATGCAGCAGTGGGTATGTGCTGTACAGCACCTGCATGGTGCAATTGTTCTACTGCAGAGGTCTTTTACTACACTGATTATAAGTTAGTCATCCGTGGAGCAGGACCTTAAAGGAAAAAATTAAAGAGATGAAGAAAGGAAAGGAGGGTATAGAGATGGTTGAGAAGGATGTCATGGAGAAGGAGGTAGGATGCATATACTATATATTTATGTATATTATTTATGTAAAAGCTGACATATATGGTATTTTGAAAGAATGAGAAATATTAGAACTGATTTGAACAAATTTTAATGTATAGAGTGAGGAAGAGGAAAGAAAAGAGGGAGGGAGAGGGAGAAAAAAGACAAATGAGGCAGGAAGAACTTGATTACAGAACTTTCAGTGTACTATCTTTACGTTAAAGGTCATATTATCCAAGAAGATTAAAAGGCACGATAATAGCATTGCTAATCTGCCATTATGGTTTTGAATGATTCTGATAATCCAAACTTAATGTGAACTCTCATCACATGGAAAAAAACAATTAAAGTAGGGATTGCTTAGAAGGGCAGAGCTTACGTACATTCCCTGCCAAACACACGGGGCACATGTGAAGATGTGAGTCACTGCTATTATTATCTGGGATATTAAAGATATATGAGACATCAAGCGGCATCCCAGAGAGAGACACCGTGAGGGAGAAAGACGAGAGGGAGAATCTGCTGGAGGGTGTGTGTAAAATATATATTCTCTGTTGCTCTAAAAGTGTCCTTTCTCTTCACTCGCAGGTGTCTGTTGTCACAGAAGTTTTAAAATGGAGTCCACTCACCTCCTGAGCTCTAAGAAAAGAGTAAAGATCCACCCTCACACTGTCACAGCCAAATACACCACGCACACCCCCTACTCCCCTCAACCTGGAGTACACACACACTTCCCGCAGCCCGGGGATGAAGGCTACGATGACGCTCCATCTTTTGAGGACTTTGGCTCCTTCGTGGAGGAGACATCAGACAGGAAACAGCTGACGGAAAGCAAGAGGTGGCCTTTGACTCTGTTTGGCTCCAAAGACAAAGACAAGGACACGGCCAACAAACCTCAGGCTGCTGGGGGAGGAGATGGGAGTGAGGGGGGAGCCAGAGCAGCAAAGGGGTCTGGGAGAGGGGTAGGGGAACAGCTGGCCAGTTTCGGGGAGGCTTCAGTGTCCGCGTCTCGGCTCACCTGGGTGGGGCTGCTCGGTGCGGCACTGGCTCACGGCTGTTTGATCGTTCTGACCCGCGTGGCCTCTGAACGCTTCAGCCTGGGCCCCCTGTTTTTGCTCTTGGTTCGGTCCATCGTCCAGCTCCTCTCTGTGGCTATGCCACTGCACAGGGGGGAGAACCCTTTCGGACCAGAGGGCTATCGTCTACGTCTACTCTGTTACGGCGTCGCCTACTCTCTCTCCCTCTGCTGCGCCTACTCCTCCTTAACCTTTGTGTCACCTGGAAACGGCACTACAACCTGGCGCCTGGCAACCACAGCACTGTCAGCGACCCTAGCCTTCCTGTTGCTGGAGGAGAGGCTGGGACTGGCTGATGGGATCACCATAGCTGCAGGACTGTGTGGTTTGGGGCTTGTGTTGCTTCCCACAGCAGACGAGAGCAACACAGATTTACCAACTGACCCGGTTGTGTTCTGGAGAGGTGCGTTCGGGTGGTCTCTTTCGGCTCTAGCAGGACTGTGGATGGCTCTGGCACTGGTTGGGTATCGATCCCTGAAGGAGAGGGTGGGAGTGGGCACAGCTTTGTTCACAGTAAGCTGGACGGGCTGCCTGCTCACCCCGGCCTCCTTGGCTCTGCTCCAGGAGGGCTGGTCCTGGCCTATGAGTGCTACAGCCTGGGGCCTGGTCCTGGTCCTGGTTGCCTGCTCGGTAGCAGCCTTTCTGGGGATGACGCACGCCCTCACCCGAATCCACCCGGCTCTGGTCTCCGCCTCTCAGAGCCTGGAGGTACCTGTTGCCATGCTGCTGCATCTGTCCGTGCTGCCGTTGGCTCCCACTGCGCCGGAAGTTGTCGGTAATGTGATGGTCTTATTAAGCGTTGGTTGGCTGGTGGCGATGAAGCTTCTACCCTCTCGTGGGGGTGGGCGGCGCCAGAGGGAGGAGTATGAGGAGATTCTGGACTCGCCCATCAAATAGGCATCTCGCTTCACACCTCCTCCTTGTCTTCCCCTCACTCCCTCCTTCTCGAGATTGGTTCCAGTGTACATAAAAGACTGCTAAATGTTTATTGGAGCTTTAGCGATTTTGTATTGTATTCTTTGCTTTTGGGAAAGTGCCAATATTGTGCTGTCTGTTAAAGTGACCATGTGATGTGACATTAAAATCTGTTTGATGAACACAATGCATTCCTGAAGCAACTTGTAATCAGTATGTTGCCTCCTTAAGAGTGTGTTTGTCTGCATATATTGGCTACATTTTCACAAGAATGTGATGCCAGTCACTTTTACCAGCCAGCTGAGGGTTAGCCGAGGACTGATTCCAGCCATTTGGTTGCGGGCCGCTGGCTAGACAGAGAAAAAACAGGAGATGGGATGAGACAAGAGTGAGAGGCGAGACAGACAGTCGGAGGAAGATAAATGGGGGTAGAGAGAGAGAGAGAAGATGATGGTATTGGCATACAGATAAGAAGCAGGAGAGAAAGGTGAGGGATGGCAGGTGACAAAACAATTGAAAGAGAAAGAAGGCAGGGCTGAAAGCAAGGCTGACGGTGGCTGGGTATTGCACTGTGTCTGGCCAGCTGGCTGATAAAAATACTGTCCGTGTGTGGGGAACAGTCATTATGTCTAATAACGACCTGTCAGACATAAACACTGTCACTCTTCTTTTCTGGGTCGCTCCTCTCTTTTTCTCATCCTTTTTTTTCTCTTTCTCTTTTTCTCTGTGTTCTAAATGAATGAGGCACCAACATAAAATGACATGACAAAGATTCCATTCACTGAAATCCCCACACACAAACACACATGCACAGATGGAGACTTTTGAATAAAAACAAGTGCCCCCGCATTTAACAGACATGCTGGCTATACCATGATGAAACAGGTGGAGTAGGAAGTCTGAACACGAGATACAACTTCGATCCTTGTTACTCTACCTCGGAGCTCCAATGCATCTCATTAGTGGTGACATTTAAGAAATAGGCCAGGAAAAACCCATCAGATCTTGCCTATAATTCTCCACCCAGCTGCAGATTTATAAGGGAAGGTGCACACACACACACGGGCACAAGTATGCATTCATGCCATGGTTATAAGCCTTTCATTAGTGAAAATACTTGTGTGCTGTCAGTTGACTGGCCTAATTTAACTTACATACGGTTCAAATGTTATTTATTGCTATATTTTACTCAGTGGTGGAAGGTACAGTAACTACAATCATCGATGGTCATTCGGGTCGGAGTATGTTTGTCCTCGATTACTTGTGTGTGTGTCTGTAGCGAAATACATTTAGTCAACCACAATCTTAGGCTACTTCCACCACTGGAGTAGGTGGACTTCCATTTAATTTGTCTTCCACATTTAATACATAACATACTCTTTATTCCCTAATAGTTACTCTGCAGGTTGAGATTTTATACATTATGTTGTTTTGTTATAGATTAAACTACCTAAATATATATAATTTATTTCAAATGATCACCTTCCTGACCATCTACAAAATGCTCCTTACAGCTTAATGCATCAGTAATAATGATAAAATAATATAATATGTAATAATATATCACTGACAGGGGTCTTCCTGCTGCATGATGGATACTTTCACATCTGATAATTTAGGTACCTTTCACCAATAATTAAAACTTATAATGCAGTATTTTGTATTGCGGTATTGCGACTTTTCCTTAATTGTTCTCTTCCTCTTTCTGCTTTCTCATTTGCCTCAATGTCCTCTCAAGCTCTCATAAAACAAAAAATATTATACTTTTTATTATCATACTATACTATTATACATGAATGACGATGTGATCTGGGACAAAAGACCATCACACAGAAACAGCAAAATACATGGACCAGTCAGCCGTTGTGTTGTTCATAACAACATGTGTGTGTGTGTGGCTGCAGCAGGGATGGGCAGTGGTGTAATAGCCCTGGCAGGGTTTCCTACATCATAAACACTCGGAGTATCGTAAGTTGTGGCCTCGTAGCGAACAGACTCTTAAAGCAGCTAATGAGAGGGTGAGGCCTGCCCAGAATTAAACACAATCCAAAACCTCTCACACACTTTCTTGCGGTCGTTGGCATTTGCAGACATCACCACAATTACACAAACACTGAGGTAGTGGTGTAAACCTTGGCTTGTGTAGGAAAGGATAGAGCACATGCACTAACTTGCACAAATGGAAGTGCAGGCGTGTGCATGGAAATATTAAATGTGCAGCTCTGAAAACGAGTTGTTCACTCTGTGGGAGGAGGGAGGAAACCTTTCCGTGAGGCTGATTAGTTTGTTTAATATGTTTTTATTTATTATAGCAAACCCACAACATTTATGGTACATTTAAATTCATTGTCACCAGACAAAAACAAGCTCACGTATAAAAATTAGGCCCCTTAAAAACAACATTAAAAACTGAGTATGTGTACAAAATTGTTATCACTGGAGTGTCCCCATACAATTAGTTTTTCCCTTTGGGTAACTCAGGTGTCTCCTCTGTCCTTCCTCAATGTTCCTGCCTGCTCTATCACTCTGCTCAGCTGCAGGTGAACCTTCTGCAGTTCCGTTGCTATGGCAACCAGGGCCTTTTCCATTGTGGCCATGTCCAGCGGTGAAGTCACTTCCTGCTCCTTCAGGAGAGATGGAAATGGCTTCATCCCTAAGCCTAAAGATGCTCCTAAACCTCCGGGTCTCTGTGTTGGTTGGTGTCCCATCCTGCTGTCTGCTGCTCCTGATGGCACCACTCTGTGGCCTTCACCTTCCTCCAAAGGTTTCAGCCGGGCATTCCCCTCATGGCCACCGTGCAGGAGCTGCTGTAAGGTAGTGTTTAACCTCCTCTGCCTCTCAGCTTCCTCCTCCCGGAGCTCCACCAAGCCCTGTTGCAGCCTGACACTCGCCTGCTCTGCGTGCGCCCTGCACGCTGACTCCAGGGTGGGCAGACACTGCTGGCACGTCCCCTTACCCAGCTTGTCCACCTTGGTCGTGAGAGAGACCATTCCTCCACAGCATTGCTTCAGAGACTCCAGCAGCATGTTCTGCCTCATGTGGGAGTCCTCCAGAGCGATGAAAAGCTTGTCCCAGCGGGTGATATCTGCAGCCGGGCATGGCGTGGTTGGAGATTCCCCTGTAGACAACAACCATAGGGATGAATTAATTATTCAGTCCCATAGTCAATATATAGTCAAAGTAATATTAACATAAAGCAAACCCAACCAAAATATAATAATTTATAATACAGAGTATTACAGTGGAACTGCATTGTATGAATCGGGTATTAATAAAACACTTATCAGTTCTTACAGGGACTTAAATTATCAGTTCTTTGTTACCCACAGTATTGATTTCTTTCACAGTACCTTCATTTAAGTACCAGTAGGAACCAGTATTTCATTGGTTCATACAACAATTTACACTATTAATCCCGGATGTATTAGTAAGTGTAAACATAAACATAGACAAAGGCACAACCTACAATTTACATACACAATAAACAATTACGTATTCCATCTACTATCGGTACTATAAGTTTAGTATTTAAAGGTAGGTGGGTTGATTTATTTTGTCACAATATAACAGGTTATAGAGTGAAATTGAGTTTGGAACTCTTTCCTACTAGGTAGGTCCCTGTACTTTGCGGTCAACGGATTTTCTTTTTGAAACGAAAAAAACAAAAACGAAAAACGGCTTGTTTCCCAATTACCATTAGTAAATAGGGAAATGAAAAACGGGAAACAAACCGTTTTTCCTTTTTCATTTTGATATTAAAAAACGGAAAACGAAAAAAAATTTCGTTATCCGATTTTCTTTCATGTGTTTATAGATGGAAATCGGAAATTCAAATAGGAGTGTATAAATCTAATTCCTCAATTTTGCATTGGGTTTTTTGGTGACCCGGAAACTATGGTAAGCAGTTAGCGGCTTGGGGCGCTGTAGCCTATATGCGCGCTTGACAGACTGTGTGCAGGCACTTTCCTTCAACACAGAGTGGTCGCATGAGGTCACCGAGGTCCGGACCTCAGTAATTATGTAGGCTATGTATGTATAATAATAAAAGGAATAATAGAAAGATTAAATTTGGAGAAACAATTTTCTGCCATTACATAGGCTAAATAAAATCATTCGAATAAAAAACATTGATGCATAGTCCACTTGCAGTAGTCTAGTTTTCTAACAACTTAGCTCTCCTTATTAGCTTCCGGGTCACCAAAAAAAAAACTAAAATCCACAATTGAGGAATAAGGTATACACACTTATTTGAATTTCCGATTTCCATCTATAAAGACATGAAAGAAAATCGGATATCGGATTCCTTTTTTTAATATCAAAACGAAATCCCGTTTCGTTTCCCTATTTACTAATGATAGGCTAATTGGGAAACCAGCTGTTTTTCGTTTTTGTTTTTTTCATTTCAAAACGAAAATCCGTTGGCCACAAAGTACATGGACCTAGGTAGCAGATAATATACATTAATATAGAAGCAATTATAAAAATGGTTAACATAAATAAACTATGTTCAATAGAGCAGTGCTGACGATTAATTTGAGCTTAAGAGTAAGGTAGCTTGGGGGAAAAGCAGTCTGGTGGTGTGGCAGCTGATACTTCTAAATCATATTATATACATTATACTTCTATATTCAAAACAGTTGCGTTACAGCTGAAGTTATAATGACCTGTGACCTGACATTATATTTACTCTATTTTTATGTGATCAGATTGCAGCATTAAGCAGTTTTCCAATAGAACTTTTTAGATCAATAACAATGGCACTGTACAATGGCACTTCATGACTAGTTATTTTTTTTATGTATATAGTGAACAGTAGTCGACCAAAAATAGACCCTTGTGGGACGCCTTTCCAAAACTAACAAATAAATGTGTATGTTGATGAATTTCAAAACACATAAGAATGTTTTTATGTCTTAAGGACATCAGGCATGGCAGCTGAGGACTAATTCTTCACAATGAGCCATCTGTTCAAACAAACAGGGAATGCAAAAGAGACAAGCGGACAAACAAATAAAACTCACCCTCCCGTTGGTCCTGCGAGATCTCGTTCCCATAGTTGTCTGCATAGTTCCCTTCATACTCGACCTCATTCACACACAAGGATGCACCCAGGAAGCCAAGCACGCACAGCACGCGCCAGATCCTGAACACATGCATGACAAAGCTCTTTTTGTGTTACTTTTGAAAAATATCACCAATGGATGTGGTTATATCAGGTGTGCTTGTCACCCTGTTTTTGAGCTGCTCTCTCCTCTTTTCTTCACCCCTTCACCACATGTACAGCTCTTCACACTGAGCCAGCAGCTGTTGCGGGTGCTGAGTTTATAACGGGGGAAAAAGGAGGGAAGTTAAGGAGGGTGGGACAGAGGTGGGGGTGCTTTGGAGGTTGGGTGTTACAGTGGAGGTAATGTCAAAAGTCAAACTGAGTCGGAAATGGGGGCATTATGGAAAAGAGAGGGAGAGTTTTTGGGGTACAGGGAAAGCATGGGTGCAAAGAGAGGGATGAAAGGAATAGACAGATGAAGAATGAAATAGGGAGAAAGGAAGACAAACCAGGCAGAATAAAAATGTTTAAATGTACGTATGTTTCAGTGATTTATAATACATTTCTTTGAAGCAAGACTAACATTTGAGAAATAACCATCTCCTGCTTTGCAGCCTTGCTTGGTCAGGTATGCTGTGTCGCTTATATTGGCTAATGTTTATAAAAGGTAGCAAACTTTATATAGATGTTGTATAACTAACATATCTGAGTCAGTTTTTGATTTAATGGCTCTTACCCACGTGTTCTAATGTTACAGTAGGTTTTAACACTCGGGATAATTGACACTTGTGGCTGCTGTAACACATAAATTAGAAAATTTGCTTGCCAGCTTTATTTTAAAAGCAGACAAAAAACAGATAATACCAAAACTTCACATTTTCTTTTTCACTGTCACAGTCCACACAGGGCCAGAAATATTTCCACATGGGAAAGTCTTCCTGTAGATGTTCCTTCTTGTAAAATAACCAAACTGTCAGTGTGAGATCAGAAATACAATCTACCAGACGAATGAAAAACATATTCCATCTTCACTTAAGTTTTGAAATGTTTTTGTCTCTATATCATTAAATATTTCACCTTTAAAATCATGTAGGGTCCTACTTTATGAGTTTTATACAATACAGGATTGTACAATGAAATGCAATTGTAGCCTCATCTGAGCTACACAGACAGAAATTGTATAAATAAGACAAATAAATCAAATCAAATCAGATGAGCATTATTAACAGAAAGAAAACTATACTATGTGTAGGAAAATATACAGTTATGTACATAATATATCTACATGGAAACACACAATATGGACAATATAAAATGATTTTCTCTTCTTTAAAATTAGCTTTGTAGTAATCAATGATTGAATCCACACACTGTAGGTCCGTCTGCGTCTTTAACCTTTGTACTGATGAGTCAGAGTCACTCCCTGCTCTGTGTATCAACACCAAATCCTTTAACCTTAAAAGTTACAACATTGCAGAGTCTGGGCTATATTTTAAGCTCGCAATGAGTTTGTTTCTACCACATGAAATTAAATTTAGTTGCTAAGCAACACTGAGAGATTTGCTTTCTGTGACTTTGTTTGACTGGTTACCTTGTCAATTAAAACTCAAGGAAGCATTAGAAGTTACTGGACTCTTAGCAAAACTAAATGGCCTTATTTTCATAGACAGGGGGCTCTAGTCAACAGGTGTTGGGGTTAAGCAGCAAAAGTCGGACATGTCAAGGTCAAGGGAAAAGCCCTGACCTTCCTACTCTCTGCAGACCTCCAAACTGAGCTCCCCCTGCAGATGTCAGCATGCCTGCCAGGACCTATGTATGATTTTGTCTCTCTGGCAAGTTTTAATTGTAGCAGAAGGACTAATTGGGCTGGGAGCTGGCAGGTTTATCTCAGGAAAAGAGAAAACATGCAGGGGAAGAGATGGACAGAAAGAGAGTAAAACAGAGGTGGAGACATAGGTGGATAGTTGGTGAGGAAAAGTACAAAGGGGCAAAGGAAATTTGTAGAAATGTTCTTTTCCTCATTGCAGCAAAAATACCTCACTGTGAGCCTGTGAGTGTGTGCATGTCCCTGGCCCAGTTCCATAAAATGCCAGTAATTAAAATCCCTTCAGAAAATCATTACATTTATATGTCAAAATGTGCAGTTGGGATACAAAATTCAGCACGTAAGAAAACAGTTGGCGTTCTCATCTTGTCATTTGGTGTCCATCTGAGGCATACCACCTCTCACCTTTTCTCTCGATTGGTCATCTTTCTATTTAGGTCATCATATGACTCCATAAAAGAGGAGCTACATTTATCAGCAGCCACCAGACGCTGTTTACCACCCCCACCTGCACACCACACCTACAGCTTAGCTGTCACACAAAACACTCCCAACTGGCAGTGAGGGGAAGAAGTGATGAAAGATGAAGGATTGACAGAAACAGAACAGAGAGAGGAAGATGGAAAGAGAAAAGAGAGGTTGATGATGAAAGTTGGATTTAGGAAGAGGGTTTCTCATGTAATGGCACTAATTCTATTCAGGCAGAATCACAAGAGAAACAGATCCTGTCATCCGGCTTGTCCCGACAAAACCAGAGCCGCAAGGAAAAATGGGACAATGGGTGTTGTCAGCATGACTGACATTAGCTAAAAACAGCCGACTTATAACAGCAACAGGACTAAAGAACAAACCGCACACTAACATTAACACAGCAAAGTCAGCCAACACAGGCCAGTTTTATGAGAGCTGGGTGGATCCCTTTTATCCATAATATTTAGGAAGGGGAGAGAAACCGGAAAGGGAGATATGACTGAAATACAGAATGCTGCAAAACAACAGAGCCATTGGAAGAATATAGCTGACTTATAATAACAATAATAATAATAACATTTAATGATGAAAGGAGTGTTTTAGTTCATGATTATATTACAATTTAATGCCTTACTAAAACAGCACAGTGAGAGACACAGTTAGGATTCAAAAGAATAATATCTGAGCTAAGAAAAGCCTTTGAAACTGTGCACTATGCCATGCTGAAGCATATTGGGTTATCTGATCTGGCACTAATTTGACAATTTAGTAATAATCTCTGAGGTAGTATTTGATGTGTCAAAGTCAATGGGCACAGTTCAAACTGGCTTAATGTACTAAATGAGTACCTCAAGAATCTGTGCTTGGCCCGCTTTTATTTTCTCTTTACATAAATGATTTTAACTTTTAATAACCTTTAATATTTTGTAGTCTCAGCTCACCCAACTGAAACTTGTGCTGAATGGAGATAATCCAAGTTGTTGTTGTTTTCTTATGCTACGAGGAAGCATACAGACACTGTGGAGATTGTGACAGCTCAGAGGAAGACAATGAAAGTTACCTGTTACAAATATCAATGTATTTTATTTGTAGACACAAATCCTGTCTCTCTTTTGAAGTTAGGAGAAGGCTGGTCATGACCATCTTTTTACTGGTTCTTAGTTATGGGGATTTGTTGTAAATGAATGCATCAGCACAGTGTCCCCAAGTTGGACTGTGGCGCATTGAAATTTGCCAGAAAACATAAGCCATTCACACATCACAGTGTTTTCTCTGTCCGTGTGTATATATTTATTTATAAAGACATCTGGTCCAAATTATTAGATCTCTGCAAATGTCACTTAGCAATTATCTCAGATCCCAATAAATACTATATATCTTCTGTCTGTCCCTTATGGATGTACAAAAACAGGAAAGAAAACCTTCATGTTTCAGCTCCAGCCACTGCAAAATGACTTCAAATGGATGTATCTGATATTTCTGGCAGAATTTAAAACTAGTGTAGTGTAAACTAAAACCATTAGCCTTATTTCAATGTTATAATGTATTTAGTATTGTTGTATATGTTGTCTAATTTTGTATTGTATCTCAGTGGGATTTACCTGGTTAAACTAAATAATATACTGTATCTGTCTTTGCCCTTCAGCTAGAGGAAAGAACCAGGCCAAATATAATTAGAAAGATCCCAATTCCCTTTATCTGTTCTCATAACTCATGTCAACCAGACATGCAAAACATCTTTCAGCTTCCTTCCTGTATCACACGAGCAGAAAATCACATGAAGACCAGAGAGACACAGTGCATACTGGAAATTATAAAAATAAGTTGGAATCGTATCAAGGACTTGCTGTATGTATGTGTGGCAGGAAGGAACTTTTCAGCAACTAGGGACAGACTGAGGAGAATCTATTCTTGTTTGGCTGAGTCATTGGAAAGCTACAGGAGCGATTCACTATTTAATCTGTCTTTAAAGCTTTGGTTGCACTTCCTGTGAGGCCCCTCTAAAATGCAAAGCTGATATAGTGTGATAGAAGTGTTTTTGGTGTTATTGAACCAAAAGCGTCTTGACTGTACCCAGATCAATATCACATAATGGCCCCTTAATTGATCTATCTGTTTGCACAGCCTCAGATGGGAAAGAGGTGAAGAAGTGGGAGCAAAAGACAAGGAAAAAAACACACACACTTTCATCACTGTATTTGAAGTATTTTTTGTGTGCGCATGTGTTGAGGTTGGTCAATGTCATACACCACTGGACCTCATTATCCTGTAAACACACATAATAACACTACCAGTGAATTCGCAGTAGTGTGTCAGCAATGGTTTTGAATATTAGTAGACTTGGCCTGGGAAGCCAACTCAAGACCTCAACCTGGAAATGATTATGTGTGTGTGTGTATGGGGAGGTTTGGCTGGTATGAGAAAGTATATTAGTGAGCAGCGAGCAGATTTTAATAAGGAAATAACAGAAACACCTTGACTGGAGAACAGAGACAGAATCCACACTTGGATTGACATGACATCAGTGTTTGCATATTTATTTCCACGTGAATGTGTATTTATTTCACATGAATCATGTGAAAACTCCCGACATCAGCTCAATGTTCAACATCTGACTGAATTATGACTGCACATACACGCAGTTTAAAACTGGCAGCAACTACAATTGTGAAAACTGTAGCTATCCATACACACACATCTTTACGTATTGGGACACAAGCGTAGAGCAGAGATGGTGGGTGATTACATCAGTAGGGCCATTGCTATAAATGTGTGTGTTTCCATCCAGGGTCCCCAGATTGGACCCACACCACAGTAGATTAGTAGTAGTAGTAGTATCTGGACATGGAAACTTCTACCCATTTCACCTAGTGGGGGCTTTAAGGAGGTAAATGTGAATGTGATTTGACTGTGTGTAGGGGAAAACGCCCACAGTATTT